TATTCACCCCATTCCCAGTCTTTATGCTAAGCTAAGCTAATGTTTATTCTAGTTTGCTTTTTGGCAACACATGAGGCTGGTATCAGTCATAAGCATATACGCATGAACTATCAGACTATGCCACTGAAGCATCTCCCTGTGCATCAGGCAAAGCCTTTTAATGGAGATGCCAATGTGGGAACAATTTCCTGTCAGTTGCCAATTAAAACAACAAAACGTCCCAGCAGACTGAAAAGCCCTCTGACGGATGAATGAGTGTTATATCATTATGTTGAGAGTAAATAGCTGTGTTCCACCGGAAATGAATGCACTGAGATCATACAACACATAATTAAATACTGAATTGAGATCTTAATAATAAACTGCATGTTTAAAATCTCAGCAAACACCTTTATTTCACACAATCCACTCAATGCAGCTACATGAGGAACATAAACTATTATTCCGAGGTCTAAACAAGAACACGTGTGTTTTAGTAGCAGATTTTCTTTTCAGAGACTAAACTGAGTTACAGTCAGTGAGAGTACGGTCCATTAGGTTTGTTTTTGTTTTTTTTAAGATATTTAAGTGTGAATATTGTGTTGTTTCCTATATTTTAAAATCAGATTCGTAAAAAACGAAAAAGACCTCGTCTGCGGCTCTCCTGTAAAATCTGTGAAATTCAGACACACTCTGGTGCACAAGCGCTTCACACGTTCAAAGCAGAAACCCCGAGCTCAACAGAGAAAACCTCATCCCTGTTCACAGTGCCGCAGCTTGTCATTTTTGAAGTCCCAGTGCTGGGTATCAGCCTCTGTGGCTCCCGCTTGAAAAAAGACAGGCTGACAGAGAGGCTAAGTCTTCATGGACGCTCTGATCTCAGCCGCCCTCTGAGCAGCCATCGACTTTCTCCGCTGTATGGCTGAAGCCGTGGCCTCTGTAATGCCATGGTAGCTGTCCGTCTCCTGGGAGTCCTCGCTGTTCTGCGACTTGGTGCTGTCCTGCGAGTCTGGCTTCTGCCTGAGCGCCCGGCTCTGCTCCTCCTTCAGCTCAACATAGGAGCGGGAGAAGGTGTGAAAGATGGATGTGACAGGAAAGGCCATGAGGAGGATACCGCTCAGGATGCTGCTAAGCGCCACTACCTGGCCAGGGATGCTTCTGGGCACCATGTCCCCATAACCGACTGTAGTCATGGAGATGACCGCCCACCAGTAGCTACCAGGGATGCTGGTGAATTCCTGCTTTGCGCCCATTTCGCTCTCAGCTAGGAAAACGAGTGGTGAGAAAAGAGCCATGGCCACGCACAGGAACAACAGCAACAGGCCAAACTCACGCGTGCACCTCCTCACTGTTAGGCCGAGGGTCTGCAAGCCTAAGGAGTGGCGGGCCAACCTCATGACGTAAAAGATCCGTAGTGCGCGGAGAACTCGGAGAACTAACCCCACCTTCTCCAGGTAGTTGTTCCCCGAGCCTGCAGGTTTCCCACCCACCGACAGAGAGTCCACGATGAGGGTGATGTAGTAGGGAAGAATGGCTACCACATCGATGACGTTTAGAGGCGTACGCAGGAACATACACTTGCTCTGAGTCTGAATGAAGCGCAGCAGGAACTCCAGGGAGAACCAGGCGACGCACACTGTCTCCAGAACAAAGATGTTATAGCATCTCTGGGAGCACTCACCCTGCAGAGGAGGGGGAAACAACAACAACACAAAGACAAGTGTTACAACCTTCAGCGAGAGAAACAGATCCAAAAGTGTTTTAGATGAAGGTGAGGTTAGGACACAGCATGGAGCCAGTCATTAAGAAGGTATTTTAAGGCTTGTTATTTCATCTGCAGGGTTTGTTATTGACAGCCGAGGCTGCCACTTAAGCTCTGACAACAAAAATGTGTCTGTTCTCTCACAGAACAAAACACAGCAGAGAAGGTGCTGAAAGATTCATGAAGCTTATAAGTACACGCTTTGATTATCTGATTTAGGCAACCTCACTGAGTCACGCATCAAACCGCGCTAAACAAAAGAGCTTTAAGAGGTGTACAATGTGAAGACAGTGTTAACGTGAAGAGTTCCCGACAAATGAGGCTATGCTGGATTTTTAAGATAAAACACCTCTTTTCATAATAATCTACTGTAAAATCATCTATTTTTCCAAGCCTGATGAAATAGAGTTCATGAATATTTAAAAATATAATTATAAGAGATTACTTTATTTGATTAAGTCAAAGTTACCCCTGGAGCAAACTGAAAACATAAAGTGTGTGAGTATACTTTACATTTTTCTGACATGACTCAGTGTGATTAATGGCCGAGAAATATTCTTTGCTTTGCAGTTTCTGTGGTTTTACATTCAAATATGAGGAGATACAAAACAGAGACAAAATACAGCAAACATATGGCAACTTCAGCAGCCCATTGGAGCCACCATCTACAAGCACTGGGGTGTTGACTTTGTGTCGGAATGTGCACAAGGGTGAATATGTAAGCCTTTGCATTTGCCTTTGCATTTGCTCAGTCAGCCTCATGCATTTTTAAGAGTATAAACTCTGCTTTGCAAATAGCAGTGTTTTTTGCCCTTGAGACATCAAACTCGCTAAGCCCATTAAGGACCATGTAAATGACTGATAGGCAAAGCTGGAGTTGCAATTTTTCATCCAGTAACAACAGCAGCAGAAGCAATAACCCACTAAAGTAAAAGTGAGGTCACATATTAAATGAGAGTAAACAGCAATCATGCTGAATATTAGGATTTCTAAAAGAATGTAACATGAAAACTAAGCAGTTTATTCAGTCTTGCTGAACAGGAAACATGTCGTGGAAGTCCAGTCTGAATGCAACTGAATGCAAAATTGTAGCTTGACATCAAACTTACAGCCCATATCTTACCCACATACATATTTCACTAGACATGGAGTCTTTACTGTACATCACTCAGCTAGCAAGAAATCTGCAGACTAACAGCCAGAACTACACACTGCAGGCAGTAATAAGTGGCTTTACAGCTAACCATCACCTTCCTCTTTAGGCATGAAGTGCACAGTTACAAGGAATGGAGTTGGGGGGTGCCATAAACCACCCTGAGTGCTCAGGAAGAGTAGAAAAGTGCTAAGAACCAGTCCATTTGTCATCAGTTTAACTGAATCTTAAAACTAAGAATGAATTAAATTCAATTTTATTTATACAGCACCAAATCACAACAACAGTCACCTCAAGGCGCTTTATATTGTAAGGTAGACCCTACAATAATACATCAGAGAAAAACCCAACAATCATATGATCCCCTATGAGCAAGCACTTTGGAGAGAGTGCGAAAGAAAAACTCTCCTTTAACAGGAAGACACCTCCAGCAGAACCAGGCTCAGGGAGGGGCGGGGCCATCTGCTGCGACAGGTCGGGGTGATGAAATGATGGGATGCTTGAAACTGACTAATCCTTGAAACATTTTTAGTATACAGCCATGTTTGCTAGTCATGGCTGAGGCAGTGGGTTTCTGAAACAACAATCTGTTTTTATTTCCTAGTTGTCCTATACTGATGTGATGACAGTGTGTTTCATATGCAGGAACTACACTCTAATACATACAGTACACCTTTACTCTTTTTCAGTGTGCAGGATATGTGCATATTTACTGCTTTTATACTGGAGAACAACACTGACAACACTGCTCCGGATTGTTTTCATGGTTTTCAATGATTCAGCTAATCCAATGACTGCAGTGCAGTGTTAGCCAAGCGCAAATGAAAGCAGTGAACAAAATGAATGAATTATTCATCATTATTGTGTGTGTGTGTGTGTGTGTGTGTGTGTGTGTGTGTGTGTGTGTGTGTGTGTGTGTTTGATGCATCTAAAACTAACAACAATTGAACAATTGTTAGTGTCACAATTATATGTTTGTCACAGTACAAATAGGAGGCACAAACATCACACAGACTTTCTCTCTGGCTCAGATAATCGCTTTTTGTTTAACTTTTCTGTGATACTGAAATCATAATTTTTTTTTAAATTAGTTTTGAGGATGACAATCTTACAATTTGTAATATTTTTCCTAACACCACAAATGTGAATCTTGATTGAAACTTTAAACCTCTTGATGTCAGGAGGTCACTAATCATTACAATCTATCCTCTTTCATCAAAGCTCATGACAATTCAATCAAGAGCTGTTTATCATCAAAGCAAAAATATAAATTTCCAGGCGGCACAAGAGCAAAAATACCATCAAGGGCAAGCTAGAGTTCGAGGACATAGAAGCATGTGGACAGGTGGAGCTCGGACCAGAACCACAAGCCTTGCGGTTATTACTAAGCGAACAACTAAGCCTTTCTGAGCACTATCAGTCTTTCCAGTTTTGGACTGACAGGCCAAGATTCCCACTTCGTGTAGTTACCTCTTGGGTGGAATGTAGTGCAGAGACTAACATATGCTTTGGGTGCAAGTCCCAAGGTGGTATTAGGAAAATTATAAAATTGTGTCATGTAACTTTTTGGTCTGGTTACATATGGAAGCAAACTTATAAGAAGTCAGAGACAACATTCCATATATTTCAAAAGTGGATATGAGTCCCATCACAAGATAATCTCCAAAAAACAGTTGACAGTAGATAAAAAGGTTAGGCTTCACACTCCAATTGAGAAATATGAAATAACACAATAACTATTATATTAAAAGAATACCATCAGATTCATTTTTGGGAGAATTATCAGCCAATTTCGACCGCTTTGTTCTGTCTTTTAAGGAAGATTTGGACAGCTTGCAGAAACTATAATACTGTGCTAAATATAACTGTATTCTCTGAAAAAATAAGTGCATACCCATTTACAGTTTTTGTGCTACATATTTGGAAAAAGCAATCATTTGATCCCCTTTGGTGTACTACCTACAGCTATGTGAGTCGTGTCAGTAAAGTTAGCTTTTTCAAATATTAAATAAAAATAGAAATCTGTAAGTGTGTGTGCCTAAAACTCTCCCTCTGTCGTGAATCCCTCTTTTAGCCCTCATGCTCCCGTGGCAAACCATCACATGGCAATTTTGAAGCTTCATGTGTTATTGCAGCACGGCCATTCAAATTTGAGCTAAAATCCACCCTCTAACCACATGCTGTCATTTCACATCCAAAGTAATGAGTCTGAAGCCAAAACAAATAAGTGTGCTACTATCCAAATCCTTAAGGAACACGCTCATTTTCACATGGCAACCAGCATGCTTCGCACTTCCTTTGTTTTTCTGCTCTTCCGTGTCCACGGGGGAATCTGTCTGTTTGTGACACATTTGCAATCGATGATGCCATCCCTTCGTTTGAATCTGACCAGTGTATATGTATTGTTCTCTGTCAGAGGCTTTCTGGCTGAGTGCATTCTCCACTCCCTTCTGCTCCTTTCTTCACTCTGAAAAGCCTCTGATGTACATAGATGTACCACTGAGGATCAAATTAAAAGCATGCAATTATTCATCTCAGCAGTCAGGGGACTCAGCTGAAGACAAGAATGTAAACCAAACAATGCAGGAAGCGACTAACCTTTGATACGCACAGTAAGTTGGAGTGGGCTCCGTATAACAAACAGGTACACTTCAAGTACTGAGCTGCTCCTGTCTTCGGCACGCCCAAGATTTTAATGGATCTATTTACTATTCTCATGTGTTCACTTCACTGGGCTTTACCATGTGCAGCAAGTGTCTGTGTGTGTAATTGCCACCCAGATAAACTCCGGTCTTTTCTTCCGCACAGCAATTTACCTGTTCACAAAGGAATTTTAGACAACTTGGGGAATTTAAGAGAATGCCTTTCATAGATGAATTCTGTCTTTTTAAATCATCTTCATGTCAAATCAGCAAATCAAAACAAATCGTTCCAACACCTGGAGTCAGGTTGTGGCATTGTCTCAGCAACACCTGGTACTTCCTGGCCAGGTATGATCATTTCTCCAGCATGTTTGGGCCCTAATTGAAAAATCTCTCACCACTTGGAAGATTTCAAGAGCCATGGGGATCTGATGCCTGAGTAACCTCAATCAGCTCCTTCCAACATGAAGGAGCAGCAGCTATTGAGGTTCCTCAGGACACGTCTTGCACACACTACTTGAGATCTGTCGGCCACATTGGACATGGTATAACCACCTGGTGCCAGTGGTTGCAGACGATCGATGCCCTTTCACTTGGTGAAAATTATTTGCAAAGAATGGTGGGTTCACCACCGAAACCTTGGCCGATTGTGACCTACACCCGTTTTCACACCTGATTAAGTAGAGGTAGGGGGTCCATGTCCCTCTTGTGGGACACTCTGATAGGGCTTAAATCTATTAAATCTTAAATCTCCACCATTTGACCTTAGAACTGAAGAAAAGTCTTGGAAGAGAGGTGAAACGTCTTCAAGCTACTTAAAGAAGTCCAGATGCTTTTCTTTCTAAGCTCATTTGCAAAGAATGTGCTACACCAAAAACCTTGCATTGATGATTTGGTTGTTGGCAGATTTCCACATCTTCCTGTAGTTGCTCAAGTTTGTCTGCAAGACAGCAAGTTCCACCTCAACACACACCATTTAAGATTAGGTCAGCTTTTTCAAGGAGCAGTTTTTACATTACAAAATGCCAGCATGACTGGAAAACAGCATTGTAATTATTTATCTGGTAAGATGGTTATGGCTTTATTACCAGTCAGTGGTTCTGGCTTGCAAACCTTTGTTGTTGATCACCAGCTGAATTAAACTCATTATATGTTATTGAAACACCTGATCACAGGACCAAATCTTAAATATGCCTTGTAAATATGTGAAAACATTATCAGTCCCATGGTGTAAATGCGCTTCCATGCTTCCTGCTACCATGGTTGCAGTGACAGTGCTCTCCTGGAAAACTCAGAAACAAGCTAAGATACAAGAGGAAAGAGACTGTCACCAACAATTTCAATGACTTACCTGTAAAAGCATATTAAGACAAAGTTGCATATGCCTTATGTTTCCTCTTTGCACAAAAACTCCTAACTCAGTCTAGATTTACTGAAATGTTGTGCAGCCACAGCTTTTCTGAATGGCCAAAAAGCAATAAGGAGTGAAAATACAACAATCACGGAGAGGAATGCCTATGGGGGCAAACTAGCACGACAATCAAAGAACCAGGTTTTAAAAAGAATGGAGGGACACTTGTACAATGGCAACATTCAGCCACTGTGAAAGGTTTGACATGCAGCTTTATTTTTCTCCTTTCTTCTTCTGTTATGTGCCCACTGTTGGTGCAAAGTGTCCACTACGGCATCTGAAAGCAATGGCAACTCTCACAGAGATGTACACAATAACTGTTACACAAATCACAAACACTAACACAGAGGAGCTGTCGTGTGGAAAACACTGAGCACAGAGGATGCTGACAGTTGCCTTGTGCTGCATAATCTTTGCCTCATTCTTGTTGGTCTTTTGCTGCACTCTGTGGCCAGTGAGTAGATTGAATTGTTCAGAAGTGCTCTACTGCGTCGTTGTCCCCCCATCACCCACCCCATCATCGACAAGGAGCAGCAATAAGACCATCTCACACAGCCATACAAGAGAGATAAATCTCTCTTGTATGGCTGTGCTCTGTCAGAAGTGTCTTTGAACTGCAAGGTTTGGTTCTACTGAGAACAAAAAAAGAGCTTCAAGGATGAGAACAAACAGTTTGGTCTGGAAATAGTGCACAGCTGTTTCCCTGCAAATATTAGTGGAAAGAGTCTGGGGCTGTCTAACACACTGTAGATACGAAACAAGTGGAAACAAGTGGAAATTCAAGGAAGTCAGAGCTTATTTTAATCTTGTCTGTCCCATCACAGGTTTAGAGTCTGACTTGGGCTAACAAAAAATAAATAAAACACTAAATTTATGAAAATTCATTGCATTGATTTGTAGTGTTAAGGTTAGATATATTTAATGCTACAGTTGCACTAGGAAACACAATTATTGGAGACTGCAGTGCCAAAGTTATTGCAACCATGTGAAAAAATGAATAAACTGTTTTAAAGACAGGGACAAGGCTTCGGTGAGTGGCACTGTCAGTTACCACGTTCAGAGTGACTTTGGTGTATCATGACGATGATAAAACGGAAATAAGATGGAGTCAGTCTGCTATCAGCTTGCAACTGAATGAGTCCAGTTTACAACTACATGCAATCTGTCTGTGATAATACAGTAATTAACTGTCATAAATCAATGAAAATCACAAATCTGTTTCTGTCTGATAAAGATGAAGAAGTTCACATTGACTACTTACATTCAGAGCCTTGCTTTTATACAGGAATAAAATCAGAATACAACCAGTTGCCAACCAGTTGATTCGAGTTCGCTAATGCAAAAACACTGTGCTCGTCTTCACAGACTTGTTCAGATTGATTGCAACTCTTTGCCTATGCTTATAAATTAGACTGAAATCAGTTGTAAACCTTGATCAGTCTGCCTGAGAGTGATCCAGTCAGTCAGAGAGCGAGTAAACTGTCTGGTTGTCTACCACCAGACAACCTGTGTAGGTTGTCTGGTGGTAGGTTAATGGTCTTGAATGCTCAGTGTCTGGGGGACCTGTTGGTCACCACAGCTGTTTGCAATCCGTGAAAAAATTAAAAGGCAATCACCAGCTTTATTTTAGGAGGTTTCCGTCCTATTTATACTCCATCAGCTACAAAGCTATTCCTTTGTAGCTGATGGTTGATTGCTATAATGGACTTTGTGTCAGTTGCCCTCTAGTGTAAGGGTGTCAGACTCAACTGGAGCTTAATTGGGCCAGATTATGTAAAACCACTGCATAAAACAACATGCTTCCAAAAGATTTCCTTTCTTTAGGTTCAAGAAAATGCAAAAAAGCTGCAAATAAAAGTCCAAGTGAAAGGCTCAATTAACCCTACTCCCTTACAAATCTGACACCGCAGAAGCTATGATTTCTTGATTATTAGTTTTCTAATTTAATGAGTGATGATTTGCAAAGAGACAATCAACCACCAGAGTCATTTAAAGAAAACCTGCAATTTCAAAACAATATGCCCCAGTTTTACTACTCTGTCTACTTCTACAAGTTACACCTCACAGTTTGGTGGTGCTTGGTGCCACTGCTCCAGTGCACCTCAGTGGTATATTTGATTCCCACTGGTAGTTGCTGCCATTGCTTGATTTAGCTGAGGTAACTGAAAACAGTTCTCTTGTCTTCAAACTACTGAACTTCATTCACAATCCACAGCCTCTGTCGACCATACAGCTGTTAGTCTTTTACTATATGTTTTTAATTTAAAGTGACACATTTGCACCAAACTGAAAGAATCGCTGGAACTGCTGGAACTGAGGAGAATGAGGTGAACCTCGAGGTCCAAGAATAATATAATTCATTTTCATTTAGAGTTTTTAGGTTATGCCTCCATCAAGGTAAAGCTGACATGTGATCATGTCAGTAACACAAAAACTACTGAACCAACGTTCATCAACCTTAGTCAAGTGGTTAAGGCAAATGCTGAAACTTCATTTAAAAACTGGTCCAACAGTTAATAGGTCATTGGACACGGTGGAGAATGTGATACCCAATTGCCCTTAGTAGTTTTACAGCCTTTAGTTTTCAAGCCCCTCTTCTGTGGAACCAGCTTCCAGTTTGGATTGGGGAGACAGACACTATCTCTACTTTTGAGATTAGGCTTAAACTTTCCTTTTTGCTAAAGCATATAGTTAGGGCTGGATCAAGTGACCCTGAATCCTCTCTTAGTTATGCGGCAATAGGCGTAGGGTGCCGGGGGATTCCCATGATGCACCGAGTATTTCTTCTTCAGTCACCTTTCTCACTCATTATGTGTTAACAGACCTCTCTGCATTGAATCACACTTGTTATTAATCTCTGTCTCTCTTCCACAGCATGTCTTTTATCATGTCTTCCTTCTCTCTCCCCAACCGGTCGCAGCAGATGGCCGCCCCTCCCTGAGCCTGGTTCTGCCAGAGGTTTCTTCCTGTTAAAAGCGAGTTTTTCCTTCCCACTGTCGCCAAAGTGCTCGATCATAGGGGGTCCTATGATTGTTGGGTTTTTCTCTGTATGTATTATTGTAGGGTCTACCTTACAATATAAAGTGCCTTGAGGCAACTGTTGTTGTGATTTGGTGCTGTATAAACACAACTGAATTGAATTGAATACTTTGGAACCTAGTATAGCTAAAAAACTAGCATTTACATTCACTGATGGAAGTTTAACAGTGGTCTCCTTTCTGGAGTTTCCATGTAAGCATTAATCATTATTGTCAGTTTTCATCAACCAGCTTTTTTTTGTCTGGCAATAACAAAGAAGATAACTAAATAAAAACTAAAGGTCAAAAACTATGATAGACAGTGACACTGACACTGACTGACACTTTTGTCAACAAACAAAAATATTCTGGAGAGACCTGATTCAATCAGAACTGAGTTGGGACGAATTTGGGAGTAATCAAGTCAGAAGTAATCTCCTTTGTGCCTGTGGACACATTTAGCATTTGATGTCAATAAAGATATGATGCTTTGTAAAACATGCGGAGCAACTCTCACAAGTAAAATCACAACAAATTTTTCCACCTTACATTTTAGTTAACTCAGTCAACTTTAGGTTTAGTCTGCTATAATCTTCTGATCTTCTGACTAGGACTAACACTAAATTTAAAAAAGTTTGTGAGCTGGGTACAGATTAGGTGAACTGGAAACTAAACAGCCCATGGCAGTGAATGCATTCATACAACTATTTTTAACTGTGGAAAAACAACAACCTGCCCCCACCCGCCCTCACTTAATGAAGTATTTAATAACCATTAGAACCATTAGTGCTGATTTAACCTGTTTCATTTCACCAGTAACTCCAGGCTTCATGGTTGTCACCTTTAATACGAAACACTGTCACTCAAGTTTTTTTGTTGTTTTGTTTTTTTAATACTCATCTGGATTTGTCTCCTGAAAGCTTCAAACAGCAATCTGTGACACTGAAAGCTGGTTTTGAGATTACTGTAAGTAACCAGGATGCTTGAGAAAGTG